AAAAAAAAAAAAAAGACCCTGGGCTTGCTCCCCAGCAGCACCCCCAAAAATGTCATGGTGAGCAGGGAAGAGATCATTCCTATAAAGTGTTGGGAAGTGTGCCTGGTACCTAAGAATCACTTAATAAAATCAGCTGTGACAGTCAGCAGACTCCACATCTATAGTTTCCAACAACTGTGGATCAAAAATTTCAGGAAGAAGTTGCTGAAGATAAGTAGGCCTTTTTTTCGTGTCAGCGTTCCCTAAACAACACTGTCTTACCAGCTGTTCTCTCAGTCTTCACCTGGTGTGTCTAGACATGACCTCAGGTCTACAGTAGGCTGTGCTTGAGCTCTGTGCAAATGCTATACCATTTTGCACAAGAGGCTGGGGCATTCTTGGGTTTTGGTGTCTCTGGAGGCCCTGGAACCAATTCCCTTTGTGTACTAAAGGACCGCATGTTTATTCTCTTTGTAACCCTGTGTCACTGGCCTCTTCTGAAAGTGCTTCATAAACTGTAAAAGAAAGGTAATCCTAGCACCTACCTTATAGCATCATAGTAAAGATTAAATGGCAGCCTACACCTGGCAGACACTCACCCAGCACATGGTTGACGTGCCCAGTCCTCAGACCCCATTTTCCTGGGCTGGGGGTGTGGCTCAGTGGTACAGCACCTGCCTAGCATGTGTGAGGCCCTGTGTCAGGTCCTATTACTGCAAAAAGTAAAAAGGGAAGAATGAAAACTCTTTCCCCCGGGATCAGAGCTGACTTGGAATTCAGGGGGTACAAGACCCTCTCTCAAAAAAGCAAGAGCAAAACAAAGAAAACCCTAGCAATTTAGTTCTGGGGGTGTGGCTCAGTGGCAGAGCACTTGCCTAGCATATGCAAGGCCCTGGGTTCCATTTCCAGCACAGGGCTGGGGGGGTTGGTGGGGGAGGAAAGTAAGAAAAGAAAACCCAGGGCAGTGTGGAACATTGTGTTCCCCATCCTCACCTGAAGTCCCAACTAAGGAATGACCATTGTAGAAACTGGGGCCCAAGCACTGACTTCTCCCACTTTCTTCCCAGGGCCTCATCCTAGACATGATCAGCAAGAATATGTTGTCCCACCCAGAGAGCCGGGGCTTCCTCATTGATGGCTTTCCCCAGGAGCTGAAGCAGGCCAAGGAGTTTGAGCGCATCGTGAGTACCCCCCCACGGTGTGTGTGTGTGTGTGTGTGTGTGTGTGTGTGTGTGTGTGTAAGACTGTCCCTTCCCACCTCAGGTGAGGCTGCACTGGATGCAGATTGGAGGGGATGAACCTGGGTGAGGGACTGGTGAGCTCTTTGAGTGAAGAGAGGCAGCCACTGCAGTATCTTGCTGCCCTGCCCCTGGCGATTGGGGGGTAAATTGTCTGCCTCATGAGGTGTGGTGGGTTTAGCTCCCAGACAGTCCATAAAGAAGGAGTAGGGTCTGTACTCCTCCTGGTGGGCTTTGCATTTGGGGAGGGTTAAACTGGGTCCTTGGGACTGGGCCTGCCTGGGCTTCCGCCCTGCCTCTAGCTCCTAAACTGTGTGAGCCTGGACAAGCCCTGGACCCCTTGTGAAAAGTCAGAATAATAATGGTGTGAGCACGTGGAACGTTCCAGAAGATGAGTTCATCCACACAGAGTGTTGAGAATAGCGCTGGGCTCTGCAGAAGCTCAGAAAGCGTTCACACTGCTGTTGCCATGGGGACGTGCAGGCCCCCGAGTTGCCAAGTCAGTCAATTTTCCAGAGAAGCTAGTGTGGAAGCTCCCCCATTTTTAAGTGTTGGACCCGGATTCCAAAAAATACAAAATGGGTAAGGCTGTGCAGTCCGGATGGCCCACGGTGGACCACGGGACTCGAGGCTTGGGTGTCGCAGCTTCTGTCCTGAGGCTCTGCACACTTGTGGGATACGTGTAGCTGGCATTGTCACAGGACACCTGCTTTAGACTTGGTGCTGGGTGGGGGCTGAGGCACACCAAGAAATGAATCAACTGGGCCTTTGCCCTCCGTGAGCTCTTGTGTCCAGGAAAGAAAGGGAGCCATTAGTAGCCTGTCACTTCATCACAGTGAGCCCAACATGACTACTGCCATGGAGGTGTGAACAAAGGGCACGGCCCCACTCACCCATGGGGACAGCTGACCCAGCCTCCGGTGACCTTTGATTCCATCAAAGTGCCAGGATTTCTTTGAAGGGGTTTAAGTGGAATTTCACAAATCCCAGAAACGCCTGGAGACCGCCAGCCTGCCACGGGTTTCTCTTTCCAGCTTATTCATTTGTAAACACTATTGAAATGATCTCTCCATGCCACAGGGCACCTGATCTGGTGTCCATACAGGTCCTTTGGTAAGATCCAAGTTGACGTGTAAAATTAACCAGAAGAAATTCACTCGGACTTGTCCAGCATGGGTCACTCACTCTCCATGTCCTCTCTCAAGGGGGGCTACCACCTGTGCCCGCCAAACTGAGCTCTCCCAGACGCCCTTCCCTGTCGTTCCTCATCTGCTGACCAGGACCACAGAGCTCACTTGTGCAGCACCCTGCGCGGCTGCGCAGTGTCTCTGCGGCTGCGCAGTGTCTCTGCGTCTGCACACGGGCATCTGAAGATCAGGGGCCACACCTGTCCTGTGAAGTGGGGATGCCCAGGCCAGGGCAGCACGCTTCCTGGTACTACTTGGGTCAGAGGTTGAATTAATAGTTGAACACATGACAGTTCAGCCGCCCCTTGGCATCCACACTGGTTGCAGGACTCATTGAAGAGGCCAAAAATGGAAAGATGCTCAAGACCCTTATTAAAGGACGGAGTGTGCACAGAGCCTGAGCTCACTCTTCTGTAGGCGCTTACATTTGTTTCATTTTGGGGGGCGCCAGGGATGGAACCCGTGGCTGCATGCCTTCTAGGCAAGCGCTCTAGCCCTGAGATACACCCCTAGTCCCCTTCTGTGGACTTTAAACATCTGCAGGGAACTTACCAACACCTAGTACCGTGTCTGTGCCCTGTCAGTGGTTGTCGCGTTGTGTCGTGTTGTTAGGGAATAACAACGAAGAAAGACCACACTGATGAGGTCTTTCAGATATTTCAGATGACGCCGTTTTTCAGATATTTTCTGCTGGGTTTGGTTGAACGGCAGAAACAGATACAGAGGGCTGAGTGTGACACTGTTTTTAGGTACCCCTATGGCCAGTGATGTTAATTTTCCAAGGATCCAAGTAATGATACCACTTCCTTAAAAAAAAAAAAAAAGTGCCAAAGGAAGGAGGCGGCCTGTGGTGGACAGTGGTGCTGGCAGTGAGCAGGTTCGGAAGCACCACCCAGGCCACCTGTGGAAGCCTGGGAGAGACTTGAGACACCCCGGTCACAGTCGCTGTCCTCACCAGAGAGTGAGAATCTGTCACCTCTGTGTTCCCACTGCTCCCTGAGTGGGATGCCAGCAAAGAAGCCTTCCAAGTGTCTGTGATGACAATGTGAAACTCACAGAAGTGGGATGTAGAGAGGAGCCCTCATGCCAGGTGGAGCCCCTGTCACAGAGTGGCTGCTGGTTCTCTGTGCGTCCAGCCCTCTTGCTGTGTGTCTTCCCGCTCCCGTGACGGTGCTTCCCCGCAAACCTCACACAACCCCTCTGAAACCATCGACATGAATGCCTCCGTACTGCGCCATGTGACTCTTCTCTTAAGTGCCTCTTAAAGTGGCTTGGTCAGCCTGGGGAGCCTTGCAGCCGTGTCTCCTCAGGGCCTCTCCCAGCCTACCAAGGTCTGTGTCCTTCATCTTCCCTGTACCTGAAGGTCGGCCACAGCTTTATTGAATCCAAGTTGAGTATTTTTTTCCATCCGCAAATATCTTAGCATATATTTCTCCAAGGGGGAGACTTGGAAAATCAGAGATCTCCTGCCATCACAGCTCATTCTCCACTCTTCAGACTGATGGTCGATGTTCAGATTTCTGTGAGTGTTGAACAGTTTGTTTCTGTTGGTGTCTTGCTGTGATCGGGGTCTTGTGACACAGGCTGCTGCAGTTGGCTGTGTGGGTCCTGCGTAGCTTTTCTTCTCAGGTTCTCTTTTATCTTGGTCTTTTTTTCCTTGGAATTTGGTGAAGAAACTAGGTGTTCAGTTCGCTGTAGTGTCACATGGTGTGCATCTTGCTGGTGCAAAGCATGCGTTGACTGTAGGGTTTGTTGGTGCTGGTGAACCCATGGCCTCACGGTGCTAGGCATGTGCTTGACCATGGAGCCGTCCCTGCAAGCTGGTTTTTCTGAACACCTGCCTCTCTGTATTTTCTTATGAATTGGGACTCAGAGTCACTTTGTCCCATCAATTAGAACATTGTCTGAGATGGTTGTTGTTTTCTTCTTCAATGTGTCAGGCCCCCAGTGTTCTCTGGGGCCCAGTGGTGGTCCTGAGAAAGGGGAAGAACAGCGTTGTGGGGTGGATTGGCATGCATGTGACCCTGGGGTCCATCCCAGCAGCCAGACCAAAGCCAACCCAGAACAACAGCAATGGAAAAACGAACAGACCCAAACCCAGGCTCACGTGGGCTGGCACAGGTCCTTTTTTGCTGTGTTCTGATGGTGGTGGGGCATTCTGTCTGTCTCCGCGCAGTCCGGCTCTGCAGTGCTTGCCAGCCAGGCCATGACGGCAGACAGATCAGCACAGCATTGCTCTGCAGCGTGTCAGGAGGCTCCTGGATGCCTGACAGCCCCCTCTTAGGAAGGAGTCTGTTGGGAGCTGAATTTTGTCTCTCAGCAGGAGTGGGGGGGCCACCTGTCATCCAGTGGCTTGGTGAGGCTGAGCAGGGGGACTGCAGGTTCAAGGCCATCGTGGGTAATTTAGTGAGACCCAGTCTCAAAATAAAAATATAATAAGGGCTGGGGGTGTAGCTCAGTAGTAGAGACCCCCTGGGTTCAATTCCTAGCACCGAAAAAGAGAAAGACCTGGGGCCAGGGTGTGGCTCAGTGATAGAGCGTTCATCTACCAAGTATGAGGTCCTAGTTCCATCCCAAGCATGTGCGTGTGTGCACACACACAAACAATAAATAAAATTAATAAAAGTAAAAATTCTAAGCCCTAAGACCTTGGAATGTGACTTCTGTATTTGGAAATAGGGTCTTTGACAGGCTCATTATTGAGGGCCTAATCCATTACCAGGACAGTCCCTATGAGAAGGACACAGACAGAAGGACGACCATGTGGGAACACAGGGAGAAGACGACCTCTAGAAGTCACAGAGAGGACCCAGGAGAAAGCAGCCCTGCAGACACTGTGACCTTGGACTTCCAGCCTCCAGAACTGTGGGAGCCTCAGGTTCTCTTGTCTGTGTCATTAGATCCCCCTTGCTACTTTGTCAAGACAGCGCTGGAAACCGAGGAGGGGTCACGCAGTTACTGTTGCAAAACGCCCATCTGGTCTCATCTGTTGCTAAGCTGAATTATTTATTTAATTAAATGTTGCTAAATGCTAAGTTTTCCCTTCTGGCCAGTTTCCCCATCTTTCTGTATTAGAATTCTTCCCTAATGAAGAACATTTCCTTCCTCAACTACTTTTTGGTTATCCTGAAACCGTGCCCCTAGGAGAAAGCCAGGATAGATGCCCGACACTAGGCCTGCGACGGCAGACGGGACCCGGGTCCAAGCCCTTCCCCCATGCCGCATAGGACCCCTTGTCCTGTTGCCCTCCGCCCTGCTTTCTCGCTCACGGTGAACTCAGGGCCCTCCTATCTGTGGGTCCCTCATCCATGGATTCAAGCAGCTGCAGATGGAAGGCATTCATTTTAAACATCGCCTCTTGCTGGGTGTGATGGCGCTGGAGACTGAGGTGGAGGACCACGTTCCAGGCAGCCTGGGCGACTCAGTGAGGCCTTGTCTCAAGGTGAAAAATAGAAAGGGCGGGGGCCCTGGGTTCAGTCCCCAGAACTGGGGAAATGTGGCTCCTTGTCTTGTCGGGGTTCCCTAAACACCAGCTTAGCATCTCTGACAGTGTTGACATCGTGGTAGGTGTCCTAAGTCAGCTGGAGACGATTAAAACCTATGGGAGGACGTGCAGGCTCTGCGCAATACTGTGCCATTTTATGTAAGGGATTTGAGCTTCTTCGATTTTGGTATCTGCTGGGTTCCTGGAATCAATCCCCCATAGATACCAAGGAACAGCTGTCCCTATTCAATGTGTCTGTCAGCTGCAGTTATCTTTCTTTTCTATCTTTATTTATTTATTTATAATTTATTTGTGCAGTTATCTTTCTGATGCTCAGTTGATCACAGGTTTGGCGTAGGGAGCCCCTTCCCACTGACACTGGCGACCTCTTCCTGTTGAACATTGCTTTGCTTTCTGGCACAGGACTCCCTGACACTCTTCCTGCCCAATCCCCAGTAGTCCACTTCTCAGGAGGCCCTTTTTAAGTGAGGCACAGCTTGAGTGCAGAGAGCACCTGTTGCTGCTGGTTGTTTCCAGCCAATAGCAGATAGAGCAAAGAAACTTGTACTTTCTTTTTGTTTTGTGGAGCTGGGAATGAACCCATGGTCTTCTTGAACTCAGGGTCTTCCGGTGCTAACCAAGTCCTCTGCCACTGAGCCGTTCCTCAGGTCAGAACACGTGCTTTTGAAAAGAAAAATATAAGTCCACACTGATCTTGACAGTTCACATGTAACATTTACAGTGTTTTTATTTCTCTCTTTCACTAAAAATTTTGGTTGCTAATACTATCAATGTACTCGTTTGCATTATCTCATGAGATACAAAATAGCTTCAAAACAACATGTCATTATTAACTACTAAAGTTGGTGCAGTGGTACACACCTGTCATCCCAGCAACTTGGGAGGCTGAGGCAGGAGGATTGCAAGCCTCAGCAACTTAGTGAGACCTGTCTCAAAATAAAAAATAAAGTTAAGTCTGGGGATACATACGTCAGTGGTAAAGTGCCCCTGGATTCAGTCCCCAGTACCACTAATTTTTTTTTTCCTAAGAATAAAACTACTGGGCTGGGGATGTGACTCAAGCGGTAGCGCGCTTGCCTAGCATATGTGCGGCCCAGGTTCGATCCTCAGCACCATATACCAACACAGATGTTGTGTCCGCCGAGAACTGAAAAAATAAATATTAAAAATTCTCTCTCTCTCTCTCTCTCTTTCTCTCTCCCTCTCCCTCTCTCCCTCTCTCTCTCTCACTCTCTCTTAAAAAAAAAAAGAAGAAAACTACTGAAGCTTTCTTTACTTTTCCTTATAATATATCCCCCTATGTATGTACAGTAAAAATACCAGGTCACTTGAAAAAATTATTTTCTCTCTGTGTAATTATGTGATGAAATTGAGACACAATTGGGCTCATTTGTTTCAGTTTGGCCTTTTATAGTTAGGGACTGCTTTTTTAGTTTTAGATTTTTATCATTTACTTATTGATGGCACTGGGGATCAAAATTAAGGCCTTGTGCATGCTAAATATTTATTTTATTTTACTTATTTGTTTTCTGTGTGCATGCTAGTATGAGCTCTACTACTGAGCTGTTCCTAAAATCTAATTTTTGAACTGAGAAATCATTTCATGCTTCCAAAACAGAGCCACATAAAGACACTCCTGAGAGACCTGCTCTCCTCCTCCCAAAGGCCACCCTTTTCAGCAGCTCTTGGGTTCTTGTGGCACTTGGAAATAAAGTAGGGGTGTGTGTGTCCCACCATATCATTCTGTGTATACTTCCCTCCCCCCACCATTCTCCACTTTCAGTGTTTTCTCATCTCCAAGATGGCATGTCAGTGTCAGGAGATCTTATGAATTTGTAGTGGTCCATTGTGTGGCTGGGCCATCATGTGTTCAGTTAGTCTCCTGTGGCCTTCCATTGTTTCCAATCTTTTGCCTCCAAAACCATGCCACCATATTTTGAATGTCACTTTCTAATTTCACTACTATCTTTGAAATGGACTTTTGCTGGAAACTGTCAAGCGGCTCTTCATTTTACATTGGTATCAGCAATTTATCAGAGTGCCTGTGTCCTCACAGCCACACCAACAAAAGATGCTGCCAGAATCTTGGATTTTTGTCAACCTGCTTAACTGAGAAATTATATTTCAGTGCAGATTTATCGGGTGTTTCTCTAAGTTTAAGAATCTTTCCAAAGTTTAAAGGCCACTTCTTTGAACACCCTCTGTACATTTTATTTTTCTTCAAATAATTGTTGCCATTTTTCTTGATTTTTTTTTTTTTTTGTGTGTGTCAGGGATTGACTCAAAAGTGTTTAACCATTGAGGCACATCCCCAGCACTTTTAGAGATTTTTTTGGAGAGGGGACAGGTTCTAAGTTGCTGAGGCTGACTTTGAATTTGTAATACTTCTGCCTCAGCCTCTGGAGCCACTGAGATTATAGGCATGTGCCACTGCATCAGCTTCCTGTTGACTCTCAGGAGGTCTTTGTGTATCAGTGGTGCTAGTTCTTTGTGATATGGCTTGCAGATATTTTTTTCTCAATTTGTCAGTTATCTTTTAACTCTGTGTGTGTGTGTGTGTATTTTTTGTGAAGCGAGTTGTATTTCCTCCTTCTCTCCCTCCTCATCTCGCCTACTCCCGCTCCTTCTCACTTGTTGCTCTGCTGTTCTCACAGCCCGGCTCCTGGATTCAGGTGATCCTCTGCTTCAGCCTCCCAAGTGCCAAGCCTACTCTGGCCAATGCACGTTGTTTTCAAATGTTCATCCCATTTATCAACCTTTACCATTATTGTTCCTGGATTTTGACTGTAATTTACTTCTGCTCTCAGGTGATTTTTTTCCATGTTGTTTTTCTCTAGTTCTCATATGGTTTTATTTCTCACATTTACCATTTATTTGTTGAGGCGATTTCCGACAGTGAGGGAAGGAGCTGATTTCAGCTTCTTCTGAGTTGCTAACCAGTTATCCCAACATGATTTATTTAAAAGTCCATCTCTTTTCCACTGACTTAGGATATCATCCTAGCCATATGCCAAGTCGCTACATTCACATGGATCTATTTCTTTCTTTATTTTGTTCCAGGGGTTCATTTATCTGGTTGTGTGCTGCTGTTAGAGAGGCTTTATGAGGTTTTAATGTCTAGGAGGGTTCAATACCCCTCCATCACTTACACCACCTATTATTGCTTTTCTCTTCTAAGCATCTCCTGGCCATTTCTGCTGGTTTCTTCTTGTACATGAATGTGAAAATCAACCTTATTTCCACTAAAAATATGTTCTTATCACATTTAAATTATCAACTAATTTAGGAAGACTTGGCTCCTTTATAACATAGGGGCAACTCTTTGTATCTGCCAGTTCCACATCCATGGGTCCCGCCAATGTGGAGTCAACCAACCACTGATCACAAATATTAAAAAAAAAAAAAATTGTATCTGGGCCCGGCGCAGTGGCACACACCTATAATCCCAGTGGGTCAGCATTTACATTGCATTAGGTATTACAAGTCATTTGGAAATGATTTCAAACTCTGCCAGGCACTTGGCACCTGCCTATAATCTAGTAACTCAAAAGGTTGAAGCAGGAGGATGCAAGTTCAAGGCCAGCCTCAGCAACTTTGCAAGACCTGGTCTCAAAAAATAAAAAGGGTGGGGCAAGGCGTAGCTCAATGGGAGAGTGCCCTTGAGTTCAATCCCAGTAAAACATACACACAAAGTCTACAGGAGAATGTATGTAGATTCTAGGCAAATAATGATGCCATTTTATGAGAGAGACTTGGGTATCCAAGATTCTGACACCTGTGGGGAGTCTTGGAATCAGTCCCCTGGTGATATTGAAGGACAACTGCAAGTATTCATAGACAGTCAGGAAATATGATATATGTGCTGATATGGAGTCATCTTTACTGAGTGAAGTCATGGGTAAATCATGTTTTTACCACTTGCATAAAAAAGGAGGAAAAGAATATCAGAGCTATAGTTTGTACTATACACTCTAAGGTCATTCTAGCAGGAGGGCCAAGAGTAGATGTCCTCACTGCCTCCAGGGAGGGTGGATCTGGGTAGGTAGGATGGCAAGACCCAGTCTCTCATGTGCCTTGTGTGGCCCAGGAGCTCTGTGAACGTAATTGACTCAGCTCTCCGAAAAATAAGTACCCAGAACTTGAATTAAGTAAGAGACTAGGGAGGCCTGATATTTACCAAACTCCTGGTCTCTGGGAGAACTGGTGCCCAGGGCCCCTTCCTCATCCAGTCCCCTTGGTTGGTGCCTAGGTGGGTCGGGCCCCCGACATTGTCATCGCGTTTGACTGTTCCATGCAGACCATGGTCCAGCGGGTGCTGCACCGGGGCCAGGTGGAGCACAGGGCAGAAGACTGTGAAGTGGTCATGTTCCGTCACCTAGCAACCTATTACACCTTGTGCGAGCCTGTCTTGACCTTCTACCAACAGAAGAAACTGCTGCGAAATGTAGGTAACTCCCCACTGGTCAGTCACACATCCTAGGAGTGAGTCCAGTTTGACCAGCTCAGTGTCGCACTGGAGCTGGCCTTGGTTACCAGCATCCACCCTGGATCTTTCCTCCCGAGCACAGGCTGTGTGGGGCACATAAATGTGTAACAGGCTCCAAAATATTGTGAAGAAACCCCAGTGCCATTCCCTTGCATGCCCGGGGTCCCAGTTTACATGACCCACCTGGCTCCTGTACTTTTCACTCTAAGGAAGATGCAAGGACTCTGACCATGTATGTCCTTGTCCCTGTCAGAAGCCTGAAAAATGTCACCTTCCCCCACCAGCCAAGGCTCAAGTTCAGCACCTCAAGGTCCACCTTTAGCTGGAATGGGATGGTCAGAGGGCCATTCTTACATCACTTGTCCTTCTGGACTGGGCCAAGGGACAGAATTTCCCACCCCGACTCATTCCTCTCCTGCATTGTTGCTCGGCCTTGGGGGGTAGCACCTGGGCCTGCAAATCTGCTGGTGTCCCATGCTAATCTGAGGGTGGGGGGCCGTGTCCCTGATGCAGGACTTACATCTGACCCTTGGGCTCCCCCTTTTCTAGATATCAGCAGAAGAGGCTCCAGAGAACATTTTTGCCAAATGTTGCTCTGTCATTGAAAGTCTGTGGTGAGCCAGGAGGGGCTGGGGGCTTGGGCTTGCCGGCGCCTGAGACATCTACGAGGGACCCAGGTAGCAATGCCCTGAGCAAATCCTCCCTCCCAGGCCCTTTCAGTGGGGGTAGGTAGGTACCCATCATTTTGATTATGAAACCTGATTTGTATATATTAGTATTCAACCATAACCTCAGACCTTCTGGCTGTCTGCCTTGGGCCAGATAGGTTGAGTGGTTCCTGGTGCCCTCTGCCATCCAGCTGCCCCAGTGAGCAGTGGCACAAGCCAGACCTCTACCCCAGGCTCTGTCAGAACAGACCAAAGCCAGGCCCAGCTTGTCCTGGGCCACTCCTGTGAGACACAGGGACAGCACAAGACCTTGTAGTGATGGTTGCATCCATGGGAACACTGGTCCCTGGAGGGTGCTTTGGTCCCCAAGTTCCCAGAGGGAAAAACAGGGACAGAAGACTGTCCTGCTAGGACTTAGCCACTGTCCCCTTTCCATAGGTGAAGGGCAGTCTTCGGGAACATACCCCACACTCCCTTGGGTTAAACCTTGTTTCTCCTCAAACATAACTGCAGTCGACATGCAGTTTTTTCTTTTTAACAAAAAGCAGTTTATTTAACAAAAAGAAAAAAAAGGGGAGAAGGGGATAAGAAAGCACAGTGCACCTGCAAAAAACTATTTTATATTTTGGTTTTCTTAAAAAAACACACACAACACAAAGCTTGTAATTTCCAATCACCATTACCATTTTTTTTTAAACATCTATAAAGAACAAACATCTGCTTCAAAATCCTACAGGGAGGAGGGAGGAGAGAGAGGAGAGGGAGACAGACAGACAGCACCCAGCAGACACAGGGAGGTTTTGTTATCATTTATTTGTGAAGTTAAAAACGAGCGATAAAAAGTAAAAACTGCCATACAATTTTTTTTGTTTTGTTCTCATTTTGTTTTCAGTTTCAATCTCCTCTTGAACAGATGAAAAGACAAAAGACCAGACCAGTCCTGGGGAGGGGGGGGCGTGCGGCCGAGCTAAGGGAGGAAGAGGAGCGAGAGAAGGAGAGAGAGGCGGGGTGGGAGGGGTCCTGCAATACAACACCTGGTCCAAGGAATGTTCCAACTCTAACTAAAAAAAAAAAAAAAAAGAAAAAAAGAAAAAAAAGAAAAAAGAAAAAAAAGCAAGAATGACTTTTTTTTTCTTTTTTAAAAGTTTATTTTAAAAACAAGAAGAGGGCCACCGGCAGTAGGGAGAAAATGATCACTTTACCCTCAGGCGGTTTCAGGAAGGCTGGGGGGGGGGTATAGAGATTTATATATATATATTTATATATCATTTTATAGGTTTTGTTCTGCTCTTTGTTTTTAATTTTTAAAATTTCTTTTTGGCAGAGATTTAATTCTCGCTATCTTCTAAGGCTGGCTCAACGTGAAGTATCCCAATTTTGAAAGGAAGAGTATGAGACACACAGAAGGAGCGAGAGAGCGAGAGCCTGGCAGCCTGTGCCGCCACCTCGGCCACTCACCGCGAGGGCTCCCCGGCACCCCCACGGCGGCCATCGCTCTAGCGCCAAACAAATGAAATATAAAACAAACAAAAAGCCCCAAACAGAACAAAATGGAGAAAAAAAAAATAAAGATTTTTCACAGATGAAGAAGTTCACATTCATTCGATTCATTGAGCCTGCGGAGAGGGAAGAGATAGGAATTGGTCACTACGGGGAGGGGGAGCAGGAACTGGGGGTGTCGAGGAGGCTGGAAAGGCTGGAACACCCACGCGGGGCGGGAGGGGCTGGGAAGCCGCTCCCAAACCTACAGCTGGCTCAGGTGGAAGGGAGGGAGGACGGAGGTGAGTGAGTCTAGCCTCACAGGACTCGCTGGAGTCAAGACTGCTCCTTGATGGAGGAGAGAGGAGGACACGCAGCAAGAGAGAAGCAGAGGCAGAGAGGCGCAGGGCAGGGAGGAGCATGTCCTGTCTGAAGGAAGGAAGGAAGAGGGGGCGGGCTCCCGGCGCATCACAACATTAACAATCAGAGATCACGGTGTCCCCACAACACCCCTGTGAGGTAGGTTGGAAGGTGGCAACGATCGTCATGCCCACTTCACAGACAAGACCGGGACACAGAGGCGAGCACGAGAGCGGAGGAGGCTCAACAGTACCCCTAACCCTCTCGGCGGGCTCCTGGCTCCCCTCATCCCCGCCAGAACCAGGGCTGCCTGCAACAGTCACTTGGACACAGGATAAAGATCTTGGCTTAAAAAAATAAAAGAATAAAAAGAACAAAAACCAAAAAAAGTGATGCAGAGGGGGAAAAAATAGACATTTTCTTCCCAAATGGCCAGATTTTGAGTGAGTGGGTTAGCAGCCGGGATGGCGACCAACGCGGGTGCTGCTTGCTTGTCCCCCACCCCCAGGACTACCCACCAGTTCACAAGTTCCACCTTTGTGTGATTCGCGCTCCCCCAGCATCGCGACAGCGTTACACAGGAACAAGCAGCTGGCGGAGGGAGGCCTCTTCGTTAACCTCTGGACCCAGCGTGCGCTTCCCGGCGGGCGCGTGGGCACTCCCGGAGACCTCTGCCACACGGCCCCGCTGCAGGCATCAAGGGCACACCCCGCAGGGGAAGGGGTTTCCGGCGCTACCCACTAAGGCAGGATGGACGGTGGCCGGGGGTTGGAAGGAGAAAGGAGGAGGAGGAGGGTGGCAATTCCCACTTGCCTGCTGCTGTCCCTGCTGGGTGGGAGGCGGCTGGGGGCCACCAGGACCTGGAGTCTGTCCGTAGTAAGCGGCCTGCTGTCTGTAATACTCTGCCCAGGCGGCACTGTAGTCTGGCTGGGATCCTGGGGGTGCTCCGGGACCCCCTCCGGTGGCCACTTGCGCTGGAGGTGGAGGAGGGTAAGTGGCTGTGGGAGAGCTAGGCACTTGTCCCCTACAACCCCACCCAGCCCTCCAGTGCCAGCTCACCTTGCTTCTTGTAGTACTCTTCCCAGGCCTTCGTGTAGTCTTGCTGCGGGGGTGCTCCGGGCTGCTGGGGCTGTTGGCCTGTGGGGGCCAAGTGAGGTCAGAGGATGCCCTTCCTGGGTGGGCCTGGAACCACCCCAGCTGCACTACAGACTCACCTATCTTTTTGTAATACTCTTCCCAGGCCTTAGTGTAGTCTGATTGGCCAGTGGGTGGGGGCTGCGGAGGCTCCCCCTGAGTGGGCGGTGCTGCAGGAGCCGGGGCAGGGCCCGGAACAGGGCCTGGGGGCTGCTGGTAGTAGTGTGAGTAGTAGGCGGCCCAGGCGGCGTTGGGGTCTGCAGCTGCTGCAGCAGCCTTATCTGCAGGCAAAAGGGAAGTCCAGGATGAGGAAGGAGCACAGCAGCTTGGCCCCAGCCTCCCCTGTGCAGTATACCACTTACTTGGGTCATGAGGAGCAGGTGGTTGCCATTGGGGATAGGTATTGCCCCAGCCTTGGGGCGGGTACTGGTGAGGAGGGGGGCCACCAGCACTGAAAGACAAGAGAGAATACAATGAGCTGAGGTGTGGTGGCCACAGCCATCAGCATTGGGCAGGGATGCATGCACGCAGCCAGCAGGTCAGAGGCCCTGACCATCACACTTAACAGGGCATGTGGGCAGAGCAGTCAACTACAACACAAAGGGCAAAGGACACTAACAATCATGCTGGTTCAAGGACATGAAACAGAAGTCCTCAAGACTCAACACATACAAAACATCTGAGCACATGCATGAGGAAGACGCCAAGGCCAGCAGTCATACTGCTTCTATGTGGCATCTATAAAACACAGGCTGCATCAGGCCTGACAATGAGCATCTGAGATATGGCAGCAGGCTTCTTAGTGGGAATGGAAATGGGGCCTGTCCTCTTCAGGCCAGCAACCCCATTCCCCCAAATCCCAAGAGGCTAAGAGGAATACTCACTGTGGGGGAGCCCCTGGTGGCCCCTGATTGAAGGGCCCAGGGTTGAAGGGCCCCATGGGGCCAGCAGGGCCTGGTCCCCCAGGGCCTGGTCCAACTGGGCAGAGAGGACCCTGAAAGGAAGAGGCAGATTAGGTGATCGGTGGGTGGGGAGAATGGTATAGACCCACTCTCTCAGATCCCTCCAGGAGCCCACCTCAATCTTTTCCTCAATGAGCTGCTTGGCATGGTCAATCTGCTGGGGTGAGCCCCGGATGATGAACAGTTTGAAGTTGGGGTCTCCATTGGGTGGCAGCTGCCGAGAGATCTCCACAAAGGCGCCTGTTTGTTGGTTTATGGCTTTCACATTCTCGCCGCCTGTGGAGAGCCAAAGCCAGTCAAATTGAGTGGGCAGGGCATGGGGCAGGGCACAGGGCAGGGGTGGAGGGTGTACAGGGCTCCTTACCTCTGCCAATGACCAGCCCACATTTGTGGGTGGGAATGGAGAAGGTCATCTCCCCACCAGGAGGGCCCCAGCTGCCTTGGCCTCGTCCTCGGCCCCGGCCCCCAGGGGGCATGCCAGGGCCCCCAGGAGGACCCGGGGGACCACTCTGCCAGACAGGGAGGAGGAGGATGAACCAGGAAGTCTGCCTGGTTCTAAACTCTGCTGGGGTGGCCAGGCCAGCCTACTCCTGGCCTCCCCAGCCCACCCAGCATACTCCCAAGCCACCTACCCTGAGGCTCTGGAGGAGATCATTGATAATCCGGGCAGCATGCTCACATCTGTCTGGGGGACCCATGATGTGAGCGATCTTTTCAGGTCCCGTCCCGTCATCTGAGGCCAGCACCAAGAGAGCAGAGAGACTGATTTAAAAGAAAAGCAAAACTCCAAACCCCTGCAACATTGCCTCTTCAGGGCAAATACTATGCCAAGCCAAACATCTGTGAAGTCTCTCAAGAGGGACCCCCAAATCCTGCTCCCTCTGGGACTGGGAAAGAGGAAGAACTACACTCAGGGTAGAAGCTAGGGTGTCAGCTGAGTGGTTTTATAGTATAATCTCTTAAACAACAACAAAAAACACCACACCCCAAAAACCAATGGAGAGGGGGGTCCCTCTGTCTATGTTGAGGTGTCAAAAGCTTAGATTAGGGTAGTCATCTGACGTAGCGCCTGGGTACCCCCAGGCTGCCCTAGTGGATTTGATGTGTACAGGAAAACATATTTCCCATGGAAAGACCACACCATGGCCAACTCTCACATGGCTGTTTCTAGAGAAGGGAAGAGGATAAAGCATGTCCTGATGGCTGGACCAGGAGCAAGAAGGCCCTCTCAAGGGCTAAAGCCTAACCACAGTGCCATGCTGCCTCAGGGTCTGCCTCCCAGGGAGGGCAACTGGCAGGCTTGGAGTGGGTGCAGGGGCATGACTGGTTGTCACAGGCCCCTGACTGATCCTAAGAGGAGGTGCCCGCCAACCCACCCACACCAACGGCAGACTCAGCCCTGACCTTGCTTGAACTGTATCCGCACACCAGCATCATTCTGAATCTTCTTGATCATTTCTCCACTCCGGCCAATGACTACCCCAACAGAATGCCTGGGCACAGGCACCTGGAAGAGCAGGAGGTACAGGATCAGCCCAAGTCCATCTCTTGCAGCTGTTGCCCTCTGCCTATCTCCTGGGGTAGTCTTGTACTCACATCAATTCCCCCACCAATCCGGGATCCATACTCATTTCGATCCCCAAAGCCTCCTTGGTCACGTTCTCGGAGGATGTCCATCACCATCTCACAAGCTTGCTGCAAACATAAGGGGCACAGACAGCATGGGCAAACCCTGTCACCCACAACACCTGTCCCCCAGGCTCCCAGTCATAGTGAAGGCCCCACAAGCCTCTGTGGAACCCAGCACAACACTCCACAGAGCTCTATCTGCCACCCTAGTGGGCAGGCACCACCCGAAGCTTCATCTTCCAGATAAGGAAACGGAAGGTCAAGTTGAGGCCACTTGTTGAAATAGCTCAGCACATGAACAGGTCAAGGTTGACCTCAAAGCTGGTATTCTTGAAAACCTCTCCACGTTGCACTCACCTTCACAAATTCCAAAGAATGCAGAACTGCCACCAGCCTGCCCGCCCTTATGCTCTCCAGAGCCCAGCACATCCCAGGGAATCCTCACCTGCACTTTATAAGGATCCCCAATGATACGGAGGGGCTTGTCCACATTCGTATTCTGGGAACCGTCCTGAATCAAGATCATCTTCACTCCAGCACGTTCCTTGACAACCAATGGTAACTGTTAGTGTGACTTTCTGGAGCTGGAGAAGGTGGGGAAGCCCCGTGCACAAGAGGGAACTGTGCTGCCTGTTCTTGGTGCTGCCCCTCACCTGTAGCTGCTTAATTGTCTCCCCGCCTTTGCCGATGACCAGGCCAGCCTTGCCTGCAGGGATCATGATCTCCTGCACAGTGCCATTCTGGCCCCCATTGGCATTGTCGTGGAACTGTCCTGGGGGACCCCCACGACCCCGAGACACAATGTCATCCAGCATCATCTTCGCTTTCCTGGGGAGGTGAAGAATAAGGTGCTGTCTCTTACAAATAAGGGAACTGGCCAGGTGCCCCACCCAGCTTAAAGGGGGTGGTGGGAGGAGTGACCCCAGTGAATTTATCAGATATATAACAAGAGAAAGGAACAGGCCCTGGGAACATTCAGGCTTATAGCTTCCCCAGATGTCTGGATTCTGGGAATCAACCTATCAATATATCAATACAGCTCCCTAGAGGGCAGGAGAAGAAGACACATGTGGGTGTTACCCTCAACTTCTAAAGGGAAGGACAGGGAGGGGCTTCTGCCTAGTCCCCTCACCACACCAAGAGCCAGTCAGAGACTTACTGGACAGACTCAGGGGCTCCTGTCAGGGACACGCTGCGCTCAGGTAGGCCACCACTGTCTGGAGAGAAGGGAAAATAGGGTCAGTACCCTTCTGGGCCTGAGGGCACAGAAAGACCTGCACAGAGATGAGGACACTCCCAGAACCACCTGCGGCCACTTCTGTCACCACTCCCCTGCCTGACAAATCAATCTACCTCCCCACAAATGCCTGGAAGGTTACTCTATTCAAGACCAAGGTCAGGAAGCTAACGTCCAATAAAGCAAACAGTTTTAAAGGAAAAGATGAGGTGGAGGGAGAGGCAGATTCCAGAAGGCTCAAAACCTATTCCCTACCCCTACTACCACTGAGGATCCCACCAGTCTCAGCAGTCAATGCATTTCACAAGAGAATCCTCAAAAAGCCCCAGCCTAGCAGGCATTCTGCAGCTCAAGAATCCAAGGTTCAGAGGCAAACGACTTGTCTGAGGTCAAATGCAGAAGTCAGAATTGGAACTTAAACCCAGGCCTGACGTCAAATGATTATTCTTCTAATATTCCACACTGCCTCACATACTCCTCCCTTGTAGTTACTTAGGAAAAAACCTAAAACAATGGTTCAGCACCTACTGCCCAAAGAAAGGCGCCTGTGCTTGATCCTACACCTCAATCCGCTCTCAGCCACTTATACAGGAAAGAAAAAGGTTAATAGCTAAACTTGGTGGTGCTACACTGGTTGCAGTACTGCACCGGGTCCAGTACGTATGTTATGGACCATACAGGAAGCACTAATAAATGTCAGCCCAGCTCACTGCTCCAGTCCAGAAAGATTGAGAGATTGAGAAAGAGCAGAGGCCAAGCCAGCCCCAGCCTCCGTTCCAACAGGAAGCTAGTTCTCCATACCTGGAGAGATCTGTACTTTGCAGCCTGAATCTTGCTGGATTTTGTTAATTTGTTCGCCTCCTCTGCCAATGACTAGGTGGAAAAAAAAAAGAAGAAAAGCAGGAATTGGCTAAGGGAGCCCAGAACTCAGCATATTTGGGTGGGGGTTCCTGATCACTGGGCCCCTCTGCCAACAAGTGGGTAGGCAGCCAATCCTAGAGCTTCCAAACCCATCCTCCCTGCCCAGGGGAGGAAGGAAGGAGAAATAAGAGCAGAAAAGGGACATCTCTCTGACCAGGAGTTCTGGGCTGGCAGGGGCTCAGAACACCGCCCCTCACCACAGTGACCCACACTCACTTAGGCCCACCATGCCATCTGGGACCCTGTACTCTTCTGTCATTGAAGTCCTGAAAAGAGAGAACTGAAGGTCAGCCTTGAGCAGGAGAAAGAGGATAGAAGACTTGAGAGTCTTCTGGAGGAAAGGCCCTGGGAACCTGAAGCCATGGCCCTGCCTCTGGGAACTTCAGCACTTCTTGTTACAGACCCTACTTCCTACAACCCGGGGTCCAAGATGCCACAGATCTAAGCAGACAACAGACAGGGCTCCCTCTCCCCACAGTGAGTCACATGACCTCTGCAGGTCTCAGTATCCCCTCCCTGCCTCAGGGAGAGCACATACTTAGTTGCTTCCACAACAAGTCAACTTATTTTTATGTCTATTGCCTCCAATAATAAAGTTGGTTGTATATCCTTGTTTTCACTTCATTTTTCTAGCAAGTAGTTTTTATTGTATTTTACAAAACTGAGGCCCTTCCCCAATGACCTATGTCAGAATCACCTAATCGATCTGAGGTAGCAAAAATGTAGCAAAGACCCTCAGGCTTGGCTGAGGCTCAATGAAACAAGCGCCTGCAAGACTGAAGTCTGTGCTTCTGAGCGTCTGCAGCCCAGGGGAGGAAGCAAGGGGGCAGAGCCTGCCCTTTATCACTAGATACCACTACAATCGCCCTCTCCACTGGGAGCACAAGGAGTGGACAGTTCCCTACCTTCCCTCTACTGGGCACCTACCTGCTGGCCCACCAGCAACAGAAAAGAACACCCTGAAGAGTACAGGCCCAGACAGAAACCTCCCAAGTCAGTCCACACAGCCAGGGACAACTGAGAAACCAACCTGTTCTCCATGTCACAACCTACCTTGGGGGAGGATGGATAGGTCCAAGTTGAGAACTGATTGCTGCAGAGAGAAATCCCAAAGAAAAGACTGGCTTAGCTCGTCTTCATGCCCCACATATGGCCACACCCAGGTACCCCTGCTCACATGAGGGACCACTGGTGCTTATCACAGTGGTTCTATGTCTATTTCTGCACCTGATGGGCTCTGTAGTCCTTCCCCAAAAAAACACACAGTTGCCTTTTTTTTCCCCTTCTTTTTTAAGACTTCCTGGTTGATAAAGTTATTTTTCGTGGTGCTAGGGGTTGAATCTAGGGCCTCGCGCAGGCCAGGCAAATGCTTTACCACTGAGCTACATTCCCAGCCTCCAAAAACAGGGATGGCCTCTACAGGGAATGAACCCACATGCAGATTTTTTGGCCTTAATTTCAGGGGATTATGGGATCCCTAGAACTCACAGGTCACCCATATGTAAATATCACGAGCCCTCCACAAAAGTTGCCACCTGCTCAGTGCTTATAGCTCCTGATTCCCCAACCTCAAGACCCTGAAGCTGCCCTGTGCCTACATCACCTCATGGACTTACAGTCTCCCTGGGAAGCCAGCTTCTTGCTCTCCGGCTGATCTGTGGAAGAGAGGATATCAGATGCAGCACCCACCCACCTATGGCTGCCTCAGACCTGATGCTGATACCACATGTCCTGGGCAAACAACTCCCCAACCCTAGCATGAGGGCTGAAACAGGAAGATGAGGCAAGCCCTAAGGTGGGATAGAGTGTGAGGGACACTTTTCAGTCCTACCACAAGCACCCAGAGTAAAAGAGCCCTTGTAACTAGCGAGCAGCAGCACCCAAATCCTTCTTGGAGCGGGGGCAGTGTTTGGGATAAAAGAGTTAACCAGGAGTTGAACACTGGCTGCTTCTGTGGTAATGCCTAGGATGCCTCAACTTGACTTCAGGCCCCTTACTTCCCCAGCTCCCACAAGGGGAGGATTGATCTTGGGAACCTACAACTTCACTCTAGCCACAATCAATGTGCCCTCCTCTCAGCCACCTGATATCTCAGGATGGCAAACCGAACCAAAAGAATTAACAAAGCTGGGATGGCTGAGGTTTTAAAAGACCAAACAGCAGTGGTGTCCCCCGCCACCAAAACCCACTCAAACAGAAGCACTCCTTTCTGCCCTCAGCCCTTCCTCCCAAATGAAAAGCAGCCAGTGGGAGTTACCTCCATCTTCCAACTGTCTCTTTTGGCCCCCAAAACCAAAATCAGGAGTGCTGTTATTCACGGTTGTAGCAGCATCACCTCCAATTTTGGCTGCAATCTAGAAATAAAGTAAGAAGCACAGAAGAATTACTACCTGAAACAACCCTCTGTGGCACCAATACTTCTCAGAACATCTCAGGTCTTGCTATCTGGTGGGGAGCAGCCCTCCTGAGTTTGGGAAGGGCCTGAGACTACAGATGTACTAGATGAAATTTTCACCAAAGATCTCAAAACTCTCACAAGGTATCTAGGAATTTCAAAATCTCCCCTTTCCTATGCTCAGTAGGATTTGTACCTATTGGCAGCCAAGTTGCAATTGATGTTGGGTCCACTCTAAGGAGCTCTCAAGACACTTCCTCATGCAGGTGGCCCTGGTGCACAGCTAGAAAGTTTTGACTTTAGCCAAATTTCTAAGGATGAAGTACAACTTTCCTTTATCTCCCTCACCCTCAAAACCCTTGCAAAAAATTTACTGAACAAATCTGATGGAAGCATTTTGCTTCAAGGCACCTGAAATTCTCATGTGACCAGACCAAAACAAAAGACCCTTCTGGAACACAGGTTACATTTTTAGATACATGAACAGCAACTTCAAGTAAACCCTAATCCAACAAACTAATTTATGACCACAGTCTTGTTTATGGTTTAAAAACCCAAACTCTTGAATTCAACTTTTTTTTTTCCTTGTGGTACTGGGGATTGAACCCAAGGTCTTATGCATGCAAGACAAGCACTCTACCAACTGAGCTACGTCCCCAGCCTTGAGTTCAACTCTCAAAAAAAAAAAAAAAAAAAAGCTTACCTTGCACCAAAGCTCTTGGGATGCCTATATGGGGCTGTATGACAGCACCAACTCTCCCAGTTAAAGCTGCCTCAGATACATTTGTGGAGGGACAACCAGATCAACTGTACTAAGAATTTTAAGAACCCACTCCCAAAGTGAGGAAGCCTGAAACCACTCCTGGAGAGATGGCAGGAGTCCACCTAACGGGTCCACCCATCTTGGGAGGAGCCAGTCATCAGCCCCAGGCATTGGGACAACCCCTGAGAACTCTCAATGGGCCTGACCAGGGAGAAAGCCTGCTTCCTGAAAGGGCAGAGAAGTCCTCTCATTCTAAGAGCCCCCACGCCTCCAGGCGCTGTGTGTGAGGAGGTCAAGTCACACAAGTGAAACCTCCACGTTGTCATCGCACTTCAAAACACAGCAATGGGACCCTCCCCACTTTCCCAGAGACAGACCAGGCTTTCAAACTATCCACAACATCAAAGGGCTCCTATGTCCGTCTTCCCCATTTCACCCAAATGCTCAGCCACCACAGTCACAAAGGTGTCCACTCTCAGGAGGGAGGACTCCCCCTAACCAAGTCCCTCCTTCCCTGGGAGAGGACAGAAACCGGACTGGGTTTAGAGCGAACACGGCCCCTTGCTCCGATGTGGAGCAGGGGGCTGAGCAAGACCCTTCTATCCGGGAAGGTGGACCTTGGCCTCCAGGAAAGTGGAACATGCGTTCGTGTGTCCTAAGGGGGAGTCCCAAAGTGAGTTCCAGGGCTCTGGGGCCCCTGAACACCCAAGGGCCGCTCATGGTACCCCCAGTACGCCCCTACCCCCTGCTGGGGGGGTCACCCGCGAGGAACCCACTGGAGACAGAGAGGAAGGGCCAGGCCCCCAGCCTGCCACCCACGTGACCCCGCCGCGGCCC